AGATGAAGATTTCGTTTTTCAGCACGACCTGGCACCTGCTCACAGTGCCAAAACCTCTGGTAAATGGTTTACTGACCATGGTATTACTGTGCTCAATTGGCCTGCCAACTCTCCTGACCTGAACCCCATAGAGAACCTGTGGGATATTGTAAAGAGAACGTTGAGAGACGCAAGACCCAACACTCTGGATGAGCTTAAGGCCGCTATCGAAGCATTCTGGGCCTCCATAACACCTCAGCAGTGCCACAGGCTGATTGCCTCCATGCCACGCCGCATTGAAGCAGTCATTCATGCAAAAGAATTCCCGTCCAAGTATTGAGTGCATAACTGAACATGATTATTTGAAGGTTGGCGTTTTTTGTATTAAAAACACTTGTCTTTCATTGGTGGGATGAAATATGCTAATTTTTTGGGACAGGCATTTTGGGTTTTCATGAGCTGTATGCCATAATCATCAGTATTAAAACAATTAAAGACCTGAAATATTTCAGTTGGTGTGCATTGAATCTGAAATATATGAAAGTTTCATTTTTATCATTACATTATGGAAAATAATGACCTTTATCACAATATGCTAATTTTTTGAGAAGGACCTGTACATGTCTCTGCGTGAGTGCAGCTACAGCGTGTGCTCTCAGGACATTATTACCTGCAGTGTTCCCTCAGTGAGGACTGAACTAGGCAAAAGGGCCTTTTCCTACTCCGCTCCTGTTTCCTGGAATATCTTGTAAAAAAGATCTGAAGCTCTCGACCTTGACCTCGCTAAGTGGCTTCAACATTTGTTAAGTTCATAGAAAAAAAACAATGTAGACATGTTCCTGTTTTTAGTTTTCTACACCACCTTACACCCTAGCGGTTTTTGTTTTGTATTTTTAATACCATTTTCTTTTATTTGTTCTTTTTAATTTGTATGCTTTCTTTTATGATTTTCTACTGTTGTCATCAGTCTTTGTTAAAATCAGGTAATAACTTAATAATAATAACTTTTATTTATAATGCATTTTACATTCACAGTGAATCTCAAAGTGCTACAAAGAGTGAACATCAGATAACATCAGGATAAAAGCAACCGAGAGGAAAAACAACCAGGAGGATAATGTCTCAGGATGAACACATAGAAAACTTAAAATGCACAAAATGCAGATAAAATACTCAAATAAGAACTATGGGTGAAGAAAAAAAAACAAAAACAAAATTACAGTGCAATCAATTAAAAAACTGGGTAAAAAGAAAGGTTTTAAGACCCTTTTTAAAACATGTCACGGTCTGTGGGGCCCTCAGATATGAAAGCAGGGCGTTCCACAGCCGAGGGGCAGCGCAGGAGAAAGCCCGGTCTCCTGTTGTGCAGGACCGAGACCTGGGAGTGAGAAGAAGATAGGTGTTGGAAGAACGGAGAGTGCGTGAAGGACAATGAGGGGTGAGAAGCTCTTTTAAATAAGATGGTCCATTACCATACAAGCATTGGAAGGTGAGCAGATAAATTTTGTAAGTGATCCAGGCAGAAACAGGAAGCCAGTGAAGTGAACGGAGTACAGAGACAAAGGCATGGACGAGTTTTTCTGCATCGGTGAAGGACAGTGTAGACCAAAGCTTTGCAATATTTCAAAAATGAATAAAAGAAGTTTTACATATATGCTTTATATGGCTTTTCAAAGGTGAGTTGTGAATCAAAAATAACACCAAGATTGGTAACTGTCTTAGAAAGAGAAATGCTCTGGCCAGAGAAAGAGATACTGATGATTTTTTGTTGATGAATTTGGTGTGAAGCACCAATTTGAATTGCTTCTGTTTTTGAACTGTTAAGGTGAAGGAAATTTTGCTGCATCCATGCCTTTATCTCCTCCAGACAAGCTGTGAGCGTGGAAAGAGAAGAAAGTGGAGAAAATGGAGAAGCTGAAGATGATGTAGATGGGGTCTCAGACACATTGCTACCCAGCTTAAGATACAGCTGAGTATCATCAGCATAGCAATGGAATGAGACCCCGTAGCTGCTGATAATACACCCAAGTGGTACCATGTACAAGTTGAAAAGAAGGGCTCCCAGGACTGATCCCTGGGGCACACCACAAGAAACAGGATGGCTCAATGACTTGGCACGCCCAATGGAGACAAACTCTGTTCTGTCCGTCAGGTATGATCGGAACCACTCCAGGGCAGTGCCAGTGAGCCCTGCAAAATGCTGTAAACGGTGGAGTAGGATGTAATGATCCACCGTGTCAAAGGCAGCCGAAAGATTGAGAAGAATAAGGAGAGAAGAGGAACCATGATCAGCATTGATCAACAGGTCATTTGTGACCTGGATCAGAGCTGTTTCAGTGCTATGAGCAGTATGGAAACCTGATTGAAATTTGTCCAGTATCCTATTGTCATGTAGATGTTCTTGTAGATGAACTGAGACTAATTTCTCAATAACTTTAGCGATGAAGGGAAGGTTGGAAATGGGTCTGTAGTTTGCCAAGTCATGAGGATCAAGGGTAGTTTTTTTGAGAAGTGGTTTAATTATGGCTGATTTCAGGGCAGGGGGAATATGACCAGATTGAAGGGACTGATTAACTATGGTGGTAATAAGAGGACTGAGAAAGGCAATAATAGGTTTCTCTTGTAAATGAGTCCCTGAGGCTCACTGCGATTAACCTGTATAAATAAAGGTTGAATGAATATGTAACAATATTTTTAGTTCTCTTCCTGTCTTAAAGACATAAAAACCTGGATGACCCTTAATTTTCTCCTGTTGAACACAGACAAGACTGGGGTTTTGGTTTTTGGACCTGAGCACCTTAGGAATTAATTTTTCAGTCTTTCTCCCTCCTTAGATGGCATTAATCTGTCCTCCAGCTCTAATGTTAAAAATCTTGGTGTTATTTTTGATCAGGACATGTCTTTATCCCCCACATTAAAAACGATACTAGAACCACCTTCTTCCACCTGCGTAAATCACTAAAATTAGAAACATCTAAAAAACGATGCAGAAAAACTGGTCCATGCATTTGTCACGTCTAGACTGGACTATTGCAATGGTTTATTATCTGGGTGTCCAAATACTTCTTTAAAACGTCTTCAGTTGATCCAAAATGCTGCTGACAGAGTCTTAACCAGAGTTAGTGGGAGAGATCATATTTCTCCAGTTTTAGTTTCTCTACATTGGGGCGGCTGTGACTGAGTGGTTAGAGCAGTCGTCCTCCAATATGAGAATTGGGGGTTCAAATCCACCAACAGTCACATGCCGAAGTGTCCCTGGGCAAGACACTGAACCCCTCATAGGCTGTGATGTGTGTCCCATCGGTGTTTGAATGTGATCTAAAGCTCTGATTAGTCTCTTTAGAATGATTTGTTCAATTAGCTTTGTAGAGATCTAGTAGAGTGCTGTATGAATGGGTAAATGAGGACACAGATTGTAGAGTAAAGTGCTTTGAGTATCTTGAAATAAGATAGAAAGGCGCTATAGAAGTACAGTCCATTTACCATTTACCATTCCATTGGCTCCCTGTCAAGTCCAGAATATAATTTAAAATCTTACTTCTAACCTACAAAGCTCTCAACAACCTGGCTCCATCTTATATTACAGATCCTATTGTTCCATATTTTCCCAACAGAGCGCTTCGCTCTCAGGCTGCCGGTTTACTTGTGGTTCCTAGAGTTTCCAAAACCAGAATGGGAGGCAGATCCTTCAGTTATCAGGCTCGTCTCTTGTGGAACCAACTTCCAATCTCTGTCCGTGAGGCTGACACATTATCCAGTTTTAAAACTAGGCTTAAGACTTTCCTTTTTGCTAAATCCTATAGTTACGGTCGGCTTGGGTTTCCTGAGCTATCCCTTAGTTATGATGCTATAGGCTTAGACTGCTGGAGGACAAACTGACCACAATTTTCACTCTGCTACTGTCTTTACTTACTCTGCTCAACCTGTTTTGTATGTGTAATTATTTTTTCCGTCCTTAACATGTGTTTTTTTGTCTTTGATACACCTGGACTTATACCTGGACCTACATTCTATGTTCGTCTGTCTCTCCTTCCTGTCCTCTCAAACCAGCCGGTCAAAGCAGATGGCCGCTTGTCCTGAGCCTGGTTCTGCTGGAGGTTTCTTCCTTTTAAAAGGGAGTTTTTCCTTTCCACTGTTGCCACTGTGTTTGCTCAGGATGGGAGACTGTGACAAAGCCAAGATTCAACTTGTCTGCTGGATTCCTTAGATAGAGAACTTTACTAATCGGCTTTTATGTGAATGTTCCTGTAAAGTGCCCTGAGACAACTTTGTTGTGATTTGGCGCTTTATAAATAAACTGAATTGAATTCCTTCTCTTTCAGGGCAGAACAACAAAGGAACCAAGCACTTCAAAATGCAGAAAAACTCAAGGAAGCTTTTAAAGAATATAAGACTACAACTTCTGTTAGGCTTCAAAAGGTGCACATGTTGAGCTAATTATTTATGTTCTTTATAAAGAAATGTTGTTGTCTGTTGATGCCAGAGATGTGTTTTTGTCTGTGCTTTAAGGTGATGGAGAGTGAAAGCAAATTGAAACAGAGTCTGGCTGAGTGTGACAGACAAAAAGAAGAACTGGAAATGAAGTTTTCAGTGTTGGAAAGAGAGAAGGCAGAACATTTCCAGACTGTTAGGTATTGTCTCTTTGTTGCTGCATTTATACATGAGGTTTATAATGTTTGTATGGTTTAAAAGATGTTGGGGCATCTTCTATTCAGTATTACAAAACTGTTAAACTGACCATTTTCATCCTTAATATAAACAAACCGGATTCCAAAAAAGTTGGGACACTAGGGCATTAACAGAGTACTCGAGTAATCTACACATCGATTGCTAGGACATCTATCGATGTTAAAAATGTAAAGTCGGGTATCCATAGTGACGTCATATTATGTGACCACTATGACCGTAGAGGCGGTGTTGCACTGTTGCAGGTCACGGAGTATGGTGTAACACCGGGTCCAATCCACCGAACCAGAACCAGTTTCAGTTAAGTTTCGTTTTTGACGTGCTGCATGTTTCTTCACGTTTGCAGTTTAATAATAAAAACTAATGGTTTAGTTTTTCCTGTGACTTATTTGCAGTATGATAAATGGTAGGAGCATAATATATACTCCCAATGTTCTGTTGGTCTTTTTTTTTGTAAATAATTACCGTTTTTTGCGTTTTTATTTATTTATTTATTTTTGTATCTTGAGATCTATGACGTCATCAAATACTCGAGTTCTATTCGGGTTTTATTATGTTAATGTCGAGTTTAAAAATTATATATTCGTTCAACCCCTATGGGACACTAAAGAAATTGTGAATAAAAACTGAATGCAATGATGTGGAGGTTTCAACATCTAATATTTTATTCAGAATAGAACACAAATCACAGATCAAAAGTTTAAACTGAGAGAATGTATCATTTTAAGGGAAAAATCTGTTGTTTCCAAATTTCATGGCGTCAACAAATCCCAAAAAAGTTGGGACAAGTCCATTTTTACCACTGTGTGGCATCCCTCCTTCTTCTTACAACACTCAACAGACGTCTGGGGACAGAGACCAGTTTCTCAAGTTTAGAAATAGGAATGCTCTCCCATTCATGTCTAATACAGGCCTCTAACTGTTCAATCGTCTTGGGCCTTCTTTGTTGCACCTTCCTCTTTATGATGCGCCAAATGTTCTCTATATGTGAAAGATCTGGACTGCAGGCTGGCCATTTCAGTACCAGGATCCTTCTCCTACGTAGCCATGATGTTGTGATTGCTGCAGAATGTGGTCTGGCATTATCGTGTTGAAAAATGCAGGGTCTTCCCTGAAAGAGATGACGTCTAGATGGGAGCATATGTTGTTCTAGAACCTGAACATAGTTCTCTGCATTAATGGTGTCTTTCCAGACATGCAAGCTGCCCATGCCACAAGCGCTCATGCAACCCCATACCATCAGTGATGCAGGCTTCTGAACGGAGCGTTGATAACAACTTGGGCTATCCTTGTCCTCTCTGGTCCGGATGACATGGCGTCCCAGTGTTCCATAAAGAACTTCAAATCGTGACTCATCTGACCACAGAACAGTCTTCCATTTTGCCACACTCCATTTTAAATGACCCCTGGCCCAGTGCAAACGTCTGAGCTTGTGGAGCTTGCTTAGAAATGGCTTCCTCTTTGCACTGTAGAGTTTCAGCTGGCAACGGCGGATGGCACGGTGGATTGTGTTCACTGACAATGCTTTCTGGAAGTATTCTTGAGCCCATTCTGTTATTTCCTTGACAGTGGCATTCCTGTTTGAGGTGCAGTGACGTTTAAGGGCCCGGAGATCACGAGCATCCAGTAGAGTTTTACGGCCTTGACCCTTACGCACAGTGATTGTTCCAGATTCTCTGAATCTTTTGATGATGTTATGCACGGTTGATGATGATAACTTAAAAATCTTTGCTATTTTACGCTGGGTAACACCATTCTGGTATTGCTGCACTATCTTTCTGCGCAATAATGGTGGAATTGGTGATCCTCTTATCATCTTGGCTTCTGAGAGACACTGACACTCTGAGAAGCTCTTTTTATACCCAGTCATGTTGTCAATTAACCTAATTAGTGTTAATTGGTCTTCCAGCTGTTCGTTATATGCTCAATTTCCTTTTTCCAGCCACTTATTGCTACTTGTCCCAACTTTTTTGGGATTTGTTGACACTGAAATTTTGAATCAACATATTTTTCCTTTAAAAATTTTACATTTACTCAGATTAAACTTTTGATCTGTCATCTATGTTATATTACGAATAAAGTATTGACATTTGCCATCTCCACATCATTGCATTCAGTTTTTATTCACAATTTGTTTAGTTTCCCAACTTTTTTGGAATCCGTTTTGTATTTAAAAGTAAATTGACTTGCTGAATTGCATTGAACCAGCCTTGTTTTGTCCCCTGTCTCTCAGCCGGTTGCAGGAGGAGGTGCAGCGGGGCAAAGCTGCAGCTGCTGACCTCCGAGCCCAAGCTGAAGATGTTGGACGTAAAGCCTCTCAGCTGGAGCAGCAACTGGTGGAGCGAGGTGCAGAATACAGGGAGCTGGAAGAGCTAAGGACCCTAGCCCGCAACCAGGAGCAGAGGGTGACCCAGAGCCTCAGAGAGGCTCAACAGAACCAGGCAGAGCTGGCCGGCCTGGAGGCCATACTGGCCCTGCTGCACCTACGAGAGGTGAATATGTTCACACTCACTCTGTTTTGTGTTTTCTGTTAAGAGCTTTAGTTCACCCTCATAGTGTTTGGACTAAAAAGCCATGTTGCATCTTTATTGTAGTTTTTTGTACAAAGCTGGGCCAACACATGAAATAAGTCAGTAAGACGACATGCCTGTTGTGTAATGCTGTGTATTACCTACAGAGTCCTGAAGGGCCGCTTTGTGCCTGTCCTTGCATGCTGCCCCAAGTGGATTTTTCAGGAACTGCACACCAGCTGAAACTGAAACCAGGTAGGCTGAGACTTCTGGTGCATATACATTTTGTGGTGTGAATGCAATCTGTCCCGAGCCCACCTATAGAACCTTCTACTGGACTGAGGTGACCCCATACAAGCTGCAGAGTTATTACCTGAACATCTCAATGGGGGGTTGGGGTGGAGTTTAACTGTCAGCTGATTAAAGATAATTAAAATGACTTTGTTGGGAATATTTTGAAAATAGTTTTTTTTTGGTCTGTTTTATGTTTTTTTTTTAGGCTAAAAGTTTGGATATACTTTTTCTAAGGGTTTTTTCCATCAAAGTGGATTGCACTGTGTGAGGGTTTTGTTTTGTTAGGATTGAGCTGAGTAGACGGTGTGGTCACTGTAAGCACTAAGGTGTTGTCCATAAAAGGACAAACAATCTGAGCAGCATTATGTAACAGTACCGTCACCTAATTAAACACAATGATATTAAATTATATATAACATGCTGATGTAACGGGCAGTGAAGTTGTGCAAAAAAAACAGGCTTTGTACGCACTGCTGAGATTTATAGATTTAAATCCTCAGTCTTTACACTGAACTTTGTCAATTTAATTGTTGTATGTTGTTTTTTGTGTCTGTTAGGTGATTAAGGAGTAGATGCAAGTCACCTGTCTCTGGACCGTGTTGATGCCACAATAATAAATTAGTTAAGAAACTTTATCAGGCCTCCTGAGGGCATGTTTGTTACTCCGTGGCAGCTACAGTGTTTGTGTGTGTTTATCTGTAAACAAAGCAGCTAATTCACTTTTGATCACAAACAATTTTTAGGTACATATTTATCAGCCAGGTTTCAATCAGAGCGGTCCACTTGTGGTCGAACCACTAAACACTGATCTTAGTGAAAAGTCTGAACAGATCCTGTGTGTTAAATATTTTTCTGAACACACATAGTTTGTTTGTTTTGACAGTAATGTGTTTGCTGCCTGTGTGGAATCTGTGTAACAGTCGAAAAGGCATTATTTGACGTAAAGGCAGAAATGTGCAACCTTTACATTCAAATAGCTATTTTTGTCTCATCTAAAAAATGTTATAAGCAAAATTCTTTCTTGAACATGAAATGTAGACAACATTAGGACTAAGGAAAAATCTAAACTTTAATACAAAAAATGATTCAACTTAAGCCCTATTCGCACGGGATTAGTTTTACCTAGGGACCACATGCTATTTGTAATAAAGTTCTAGAATTGTGCCGCTCAAGGTGGCTGCATGTTGGAGCAGCTCTGTTACTTTCATACTGAGATTTTGCTTTTGGAAACTTTAATTCCTCTTTTTCTGGATGTAAATCACATTTTTTGGATGATTGCTTCCTCTGGTATCAGATGCTGTGCAGCCGGAAGGATTTTTACTGAAACTTTTTTGGTTTTGGACATTTGTTATGATGCGTAACCATGGCAACAATGCAGTTTTCTACAACAGCAGCAGCTGAATAACATCTCAAAAGCTCAAATAATATCTCAACTACAGCCCCAACTCTCAAATGAGTTGAAAAGGATGTTCTGTGGACGCATTCTCATCTACCTGCCAGCTGTGCTTGAGTGCCTGACCACTGAGATCCTGGAACTAACAGGAAACACGGCTCACGACAGCGGAAGGACAGGATCGTCCCTCTGCACCTACAGTTGACTGTCCACAGCTATGAGGAGCTCGGCAGACTGCTGGGAGGAGTGGCCATCGCTCTAGGAGGAGTTCTGCCCAGCATTCAGGCGGTCCTAAAGCCCGGAGGAACCGAGAGGCCAGCCGAGTCTGGGTGGACGGATCGGACGGCATCTGCAGCCAGTTTCTTAGGATCCACTGTGGGATGGACCTTCACAAGAGATCCTTCCTGTCTACAGCCATCAGCATCTATAACATCTCGTAATGAAATGAGGATAGCGAGTTACAACAACAAAATAATTTCCCTTTGGGATTAATAAAGTATTATTGAATTGAATTACAGAGATTGTCTGTGTTGTTAATCATGTGCGAATCGGCCATGTCAGTAATTTGTAAAGTAAAAATTCCCCCGCACATTACCTACTATATTTTACTGAACTCCGAGGTCCTGTGATAATACTAATCCAATGCGAATAGGCATCTCTGTGATTTGAACAGAAATGGGCGGGATCCGATACGTAATGAGGCATTTTTTGTTTTTGTTTAAGCAAAATCATTTGGAAAAATATAGAACAAGGCTATTTTAAATGAACGCGCTGCTCAATTAACTTGTTTTTTTATTTATTTTTTTTTTAATGTATTTTTCTTTATCGCTTCGGCTTTTACTTCCTTCTACTTCACCGCAGATGACTGGAGGTGCGGAGACGCACGCGTGATCAACTGACCCATCTGTCCATCCATTTTATTTACCCGCTTCTTCCTTTTCGGGTAGCGGGAGTCGCTTGTGCCCATGTCCAGCCATCACTGTGCGAGAGGCGGGGGACACCCTGGACAGGTCCAAGTCCATTTCAACCGGCGAGTCAGCGGACACGCGGCTGCTCACGCGCACGGCCGGTGACAGCTGTTCATCTGAGCTTAGCGTGGATTTTTTTTTTTACCTCTTAAACCGGCCGGTCGGACATGCTTCCTCCTCCTAACACAATTTTATATTGTGCGTTCTTTAGTTTTCGCTGATTCATAAATCCACATCAAAGCCTGAGACTGGCCCGGCCCGCACAGTATGCACATTATAAGGACCGGCCCGGTCGTGACAACGCAGCACGTTAACATCATAACCAGAAGATGTCTGTAAATTTCAGCTAAATCTCAGACTTTGGTTATCCCGTGCGAATGCGCCACATGAAAAACAGACGTTGGGGAGATTACACTGGTCCTTATGTAAAACTAATCCCGTGCGAATAGGGCTTTACTCGTGTTTAAATAAATTATACAGGGAACTAACATGTCTGTCTGAATTACTGTGTTCTTAAATGTGTGCAACATAAACGTTTGGATAAAAAGACCAATAACTTAAAGAAATGACATAATAAATTCCGTTATGACTTAGTTTTTGTATTAGAGACGGGCCTTTATTTAAATTCTCTCATTGTTTTAAAAAACAACTCGTCTTTCTCAATGCCTTACTCAAAATCTTACAATCTATGAGACGAAGAGCCAGATGCAACTCCAAACTATCTGGCTGCAAAGTCCTGCCTCAAAAATAAAATAGTTAATTTTGTTTTTCTTCCCCATTTCTCAACCTTTGCAGGTGAAGGCTTCCAGCAGCTGCTGCGGGTGCTGCAGACCAAGGAAGCTGAGATGATGAAACAGAGCAGCCTGAACAAGCGGCTTCAGGAGCGTTTGAGCAGAGCGCAGGAGGAGATCTCCTCCCTCCACAACTCCATGACCCAGCAAGCCTTGCACTACCAGAACGTCCACACCGAGCTGCTAAACAAAGTCAGCAAAGCCACGGATACAGAGAAGGAGGTGACGTTTTATTTGTTTTTATTCAGCATATTAAGGTCAAAAGAGCAAGTGAGCAGATTTAAACACAGTTATGTGATATTTAACACGTTGGGTTGTGATTTTTTTTTCTTTCTCTTTTATCTCAGCTAAAGAGAAAAAGTGCACGAGTAGCTGCTCTGGAGAAACAGTTACAGGAGAAGACCTCAGCATACAGTCTGGCTGCGCTAAAGAACACCGAGCTGGAAACTCTGCTGCAGGTACAAAATTTTAAAAGATGGGTTCCACTAAAGCTCTGCCAGGTTCTTCTCTGGTTTTGAGAGTCATGGTGAGCTCTTGTTCTTCCGTCTTATTACAGGAGAAGACCAGTGCCCTGCAGCAGTATCAGTCACTGATGACCAAAAAGCAAAGGGAGTACCAGGAGTCTCTAGAGAAGTGTAGACAGTCTCATTCTAACCAGCTGATAGAACAACAACACAGGATAGAAATGGTAAACTACAGTTTTGTCTTTTGCAGTTTTTGCTTCACCACCACAAGTTTCATTTTTATTTTAATAATCAAACGACACCGCTGCCATAAAGATAACTTAAGTTAATCTTTCTAATACTAAGTAAAATCTAAATGATAATGATTTCTTCTCTAAGTTAATAAAATATCTTTTAACAGGGGTATAATGCTAATGTCTTTGTGCTGTGCAGCTGCAGCTGTCTATGGAGCAGGCTCGGTCTCGGCTGTTGGAGATGGAGCAGGAGTTGAGTTCTCTACACAAGGAGCGAGAAGAGGCTCAGCAAGCAGCTTTCCTGTTACACACCTCGCTAGATCAGCTCACACAGGTACTGAAACCTCTGAACGTGTTGTACATCTGCAGGTCAAAGAAACTTATTTATCCTTGAAAAAATGTATCTTCTTTAATTTCAGGAGAAGGAGGTTGAAGTTCAACACAAACAGGAGTTGCTACAAACTTTCAAAGAGCAAGCATCTGAGTCTGCAACCAAGGTCTGTGTGAGGAGTCACGCAAAAACAATAAATGTACATTGTAGGACACAAGACATTAGGTCCACAGCTTTGGTAGAAACAACTTCAGGCTTACAATAATCCATGACGCATTGTACCCTAAAATACTATGGTTATTGCATGGGGGTTGAATAATCTATAAGACTTTCTGTGTACGTCTGTAATTATGGAAAATGGTGAAAATGGTGTATAATTTATGGACAGTCCATAAGGGACGACAGCATCTATGGTTCACAGTAGCTTTGTGCTGGTCGGGTTGGTAGGATGCTAGCCCGTCAAATTAACCAAATGCTATGCCAGTGCCGGCAGTTGTCATGGGGGTGGGGGGCTGTGGGTGAAGGGACGTTTCAGTAGACAGGGCGCTTGCTTCTGTTGACAGGACGCTCTCCTTGGATAACGGCAGGGAAAACACTGCCTATCTTCAGGCAGTTTGTCCCATTCTTATTTGCAGTACTTCTCAAGCTCCATCAGGTTGATGGGAGACTTCTGTGCATCCATGTTCAGATATCTCCAGAGATGTTCAATCAGATTCAAGTCTGGACTCTGGCTCCGCCCCTCCAGGACCTTCACAGAGTGGTCCTGAAGCTCCTCCTTTGAGATCTGGCCATGTGCTTTGGGTTGTTGTCCTGCTGTCTGTGGTCATGAGCACTCTGGAGCAGGTTTTCATCCTGATGTCTCTGATCAATGCTGCATTCATCTTTCCCTCCATCCTGACTAGTCTGCCAGTTCCTGCTGCTGAAATGGTAAATGGTAAATGGACTGTACTTATATAGCGCCTTTCTATCTTATTTCAGGATGCTCAAAGCGCTTTACACTACAATCTGTGTCCTCATTTAGCCATTCATACAGCACTCTACTAGATCTCTACAAAGCTAATTGAACAAATCGCTGGTGAAGATTCTCAGTAACGCATTCTCAGATTCTTTAACTGAACAAATCATTCTAAAGAGACTAATCAGTGCTGAAAGACATCCCCATAGCATGATGCTGCCACCACCATGCTTCACTGTAAGTATAGTGTTGGCCTGTTGATGAGAGGTGCCTGGTTTCCTCCAAACATGACGCCTGACATTCACACCAGTGAGTTCAATCTTTGTCTCATCAGACCAGAGAGTTCTGTTTCTCCTGGTCAGGACCTTTTGACAAACTCCAGACGGGCTCCGACAGAGTGACCATCAGGTTCTTGTACACCTCCCTGACTAAGGCCCTTCTCCCCTGATCGCTCAGGTTAGACGGGCAGCTCTAAGAAGAGCCCTGGTGGTTCCAAACTTCTTCTATTTACAAATGATGGAGACCACTGAGCTCATTGGGGCCTTCGAAGCAGCAGAAATGTTTCTGTATCCTTCCCCAGATTTGTGTCTCAACACAATCCTGTCTGGAGGTCTACAGACAATTCCTTTGACTTCATTCTTGGTGTTTGTGCTCTGACGTGCACTGTCAGCTGTGGGACCTTCTATAGACAGTGTCTGTGTCTTTTCAAATCAAGTCCAATGAACTGAATTTACCACAGGTGGACTCCATTAAAGTTGTAGAAACATCTCAAGATGATCAATGGAAACAGCATCTGAGCTCAATTTGAGCTTTATGACAAAGGCTGTGAATACTTACATAAATGTGATTTCTTGGTTTTCTGTTTTTAATAAATTTGCAAATATCTCAAAAAATCATTTTTCACATTGTCATAACAGGGTATTGTGTGTAGAATTTTAAGACAAGAGATACATTTAACACAATTTGGAATAAGGCTGTAACAAAACAAAATGTAGAAAAAGTGACTCTCTCTGGATGATCTGTATATTTGGTGATGGGCCTCTAGGATTTTAACATGGCAACCCAGTTTTCTAGAGGAACCTTTCTCATGCCTAGATGCAGCTACACACCAAACTGAAAGTTGGTACCTCACTTACTTTTCAACTTATCATGCTCACAACATGGATGAACAGATGGTATTTCCAATTCCACCTCTTCGCTCCATGACGGGGACAAAAAGGCTCAATGAGTACGACTTGTTTGAAGGGGTTATAGGACATGCTGTAAGCTTATACAACATTAGATGGGTTGGGCTCCTTGCAATCACTGAGTATGAACTCCTCTGTAGAAAGGACTTTAGAGGCAAATGTGAGGACATCAGTCCAACAGCTGAAGTTTGGACCAAACTGTCAGGATGCAGCAGGACAACGATCCCAAACACAACAGCTAATCTACATCAGAACGGCTCAAAAAGAAAAAAAAATCAAAGTCCTGTAATGATCCAGTCAAAATCCAGAACCTGAACTTGATTGAAAGGTAGAAATGAATGTACTCAAAGATCAATGAACTCAAGCAATGGTTTAAAAAAGAATGGGCCAAAATTCCTGCATATTTAACTGCACTGACGAAGCCCAGGACATGAAGCCAGTCACAGCTACTACTGCTAATATTCCCATCTTGTGCAGACATTGGAAGTGAAATGTGATCACCATCAGTAACTAACTTTCTGCGTTTACACACCAGATAACTGAACTGCAGTCGTGTCTGTCAGCGTGCAGAGAAGAGCTGGACGTCTACCGGCAGCAGATGGAAGACATGAAGAAGAACTATGAGACTGAGCTGCAGAAGAAAAATGACAAGGTGCTGTTTTAGACACACTAAAGAAAATGATCCACCTATTTCTTATTCAGTAAGACAACAAATGCACAATAACCAGACTCTGTGCCAGGCCCACTTCTCAGACATCTGTTCCTTTTTGTTTTTCAGGTGTCCTTTCTGCAGGAGAAGCTTCACAGCACCAGTGTGGTTTGTCAGAGCTCCAGTGAGCAGAACCTGCAGCTGCAGGTGTCCTTGCAGCAGCAGCAGGCCATGCTGACTGAGAGCACGGCTCGGGTTTCTGAGCTGGAGGAGAGCCAGAGCCAACTGGAGAAACAGGTACTGTATGTCAGGAAAAGGGCGATTTTTAACTGCAGTTTGTCAGAATTGCTTTGAAGTGTGCTGATACTGTTCATATAAAACAAATGATCATTTGCAGCTGCTTATTGTTTGTTAGATCAGCAAAATAATCTTTGTTTCACTTCATTCAACTGATTTTAGATTTGGTTTTGTCCCCCGTCGCAGATCAAAGAGAGGAAATTAGAAATACCCCCTTCCGTCTGTCCATCCGTGATTTAAACATGATAACTTGAAACACAAGTGATATGCTGACTTTCATTTTGTGTCAAGGCATAAAAACAAATTTTTTTTTTAATTGTTGTTGTTGTCAGTATGGGGAGTTGAACCGACGACCTTCCGATCACAGGCCCACCTCTGCGCCACCACTCTCTTTTACACTCATTTGGATAATTTGTGGAATCAGCCATAAAGAACATGTAGGTTCTTATTACAGTTTTGATTGTGTACTAAACATCATCCAGTCACCCAGCTGATGGTAATGCAAACATCTATAAAGTGATAGTTCAGCTCTTTTGACGTGGGGTTCAGAGTAAAAGCTATGACCTGTTGTAGCTCTTTGAATGGTGAAACTCTGTTTGGAGAAACATTTTAATTCAGACCGGACTGAGGAGCTACAGTGCCTTGTGAAAGTATTCGGCCCCCTTGAACTTTTCAACCTTTTTCCACATTTCAGGCTTCAAACATAAAGATATAAAATTTTTAATTTTTGTGAAGAATCAACAACAAGTGGGACACAATCGTGAAGTGGAATGAAATTTATTGGATGTGTCAAACTGTTTTAACAAATAAAAAACTGAAAAGTGGGGCGTGCAATATTATTCGCCCCCATTGCGTTAATACTTTGTAGCGCCGTCTTTTGCTGCAGTTCCAGCTGAAGTCTCTTGGGGTTTGTCTCTATCAGTTTTGAACATGGAGACACTGAAATTCTTGCCCATTCTTCCTGCAAAACAGCTCGAGCTCAGTGAGGTTGGATGGAGAGCGTTTGTGAACAGCAGTCTTCAGCTCTTTCCACAGATTCTCGATTGGATTCAGGTCTGGACTTTGACCTGACCATTCCAACACCTGGATACGTTTATTTATGAACCATTCCATTGTAGATTTGGCTTTATGTTTTGGATCATTGTCTTGTTGGAAGATAAATCTCCGTCCCAGTCTCAGGTCTCTTGCAGACTCAAACAGGTTTTCTTCCAGAATGGTCCTGTATTTGGCCCCATCCATCTTCCCATCAATTCTGACCATCTTCCCTGTCCCTGCTGATAAAAAGCAGGCCCAAACCATGATGCTGCCACCACCATGTTTGCCAGTGGGATGGTGTGTTCAGGGTGATGAGCTGTGTTGCTTTTACACCAAACATATCATTTTGCATTGTGGCCAAACAGTTTGATTTTGGTTTCATGTGACCAGAGCACCTTCTTCCACATGTTTGGTGTGTCTCCCAGGTGCTTGTGACAAACTTTAAACAACACTTTTTATGGATATCTTTGAGAAATGGCTTTCTTCTTGCCACTCTTCCATAATTTCAATCAATTTCATCAATTTTCACTTCCGGCGAGCTGATGGACGGCAGCTCCCTTCGGCTTCTCTGCAGTCTTTTATCATCAAACTGACCCGTTTTTCAAACCGGACTAAAGCTGGTCCTCCTTCCAACCGAATTCGGTGTTCAGTGACTCAGAGAGCCGGACGGGACCGTCCAAAAAAAAATATTTCGGTCCAGGACCGACCGGCCGCTCCCCCCCCATTGGTCACTCTGAGTGCACCCTGCCGACCAGGTGACCCCTCGAGCTGGGGAGTCGACGCACGAAGGTCCGGTGTTTTTTCTCTCTCTCTCTGGACGAACTCTTATCTGGACCTTTGTGGTTCTACCTGGTTCCGACAAATATCGCCGGGTGGTATTTCGCTGGTTTTCTGCTGGACTGGCCCTCGTGGTGTCTCCATAGGTGTGGGGGAAGTGTACCTGTGTCCCTCGAATTGGACCAGAACCGAACCGAGGTGGCTGTGGGGCTGTGGGGATTTCGTCTTCAACAGAGCCGGTCTCAGCTTCAGTGAGCAGCCCGTTACTTTTACCGAAGGACTGTCCACCTCCGTGGAGTCGTTGTGTTCACCTGGAGGAGACGCTCCGGTGCTTTGAAGCGCCGCCGGACCGGAGCAGAACCGCGCCGCCGGACCGGAGCAGAACCGGGCCAGGGATATCTTCAGCCTCTTCGTCTCTCGTGTTTGGAGCGCCGGAGCCGAACTGAATTGGACCGGACCAGTTGCCGACTTCAGCCTCTCCGGTCAGTCTCGCTTTTCACCGGGGGTGCCCCGTGCTGTCGGTTGCGGAGGTGACGTGCTGAGAAGCGGAGGAGCAGCGTGGAGGAGCAGCGTGGAGGAGCAGCGTGGAGGAGCAGCGTGAAGGAGCAGGGCTGCGTGGTGCTCGAGAGAAGTTCGGAGTTTGTATCGGAGTTGCTGCAGGCCTCCATCCAAACTCACCTGGATAATAATGAATTTTATTCCGGATCACGTTGTTGGCCCCTGTTGACCTGAAACGAGCTAGGATCATGCCTTTCACTTCAGGAGGATTTTCTGGCAGCTCGTTCTGCTCTTTGCTGCGAATTATCTGTTTCTGTTTCGGCCTGTTGATTCTGGACCCAGCTTCTGTTTCCCATGGGAGCATCCATCCTTCTTCACTGGGGGGGCCGGAGCCCCCCTCAGCCCAACTCAAACTGCAGTTGGGCCAACTCGTCGGGTTTGTTTGCCCATTTGAACTGTGACGTTTTATGGTCTGAAACTTTTCTGCATCATTCATATTACTGTCACTATTTTCAGTTCTCAGATTATCTGGAGTCACTGAATCTTGTTAATACACCTGAATCTGTCCATCACTGCAACTTTCACTGTTTTTGGTTTCTGAATGATCACGTCTTCATTAATGTTTTCCATGGTTCGATTATGGGGGCTAATTGTCACACTGTTAACTCCTATAATTACACATCAGTCACAAAAAACTCAAGAAAATGTCTGATAATAATGTTGTTACTGCTCTCAGGGATTCAGCCCAACCCTGGACCCCCCACTAATTACAGCACACCAAATGACTTGAAAAATGCCTCTGGGCTCCATTTTCTGCATGTAAACGCTCGTAGCCTTCTGAGAAAACTGGATGCTTTGAAAATTCTGGTCAGTTCTTCTGGGGCTGATGTTATCTTTATTTCTGAATCCTGGCTGAACAAATCTGTACTCAATAATGACGTGGCAATCAATGGATTTAACATCTACCGCTGTGATCGTCAAAAAAGGGGGGGTGGAGTCATTATTTACATTAGAGATTCTCTGGTTTCTAGTCTTGTGTCTTCTAAAACAATTCCAAACCAGTTTGAAGCCTTATCTGTAAACATCACCTTGAATGGAGGCCAGATTTTAACTGTAGTCTGTTGCTACCGCCCCCCCCACAGCTTCACCTGAGTCATTGACTGCCATGATGGAATTTCTTGGTAATTTAAAATTCACAGAGGTCCTTTTGGCTGGAGATCTCAACATTGATTGGTGTAAGTCGACCCCCCTCTGTGATAAATTTAAGGAATGTTGCTTGTCTCTTAATCTTACCCAACTGATCAATTCTCCCACTAGATTAAATAAAAACCGTCCTGAAAAATCCTCCATCTTAGACCTGTTTCTAACTAATATGCCTCACAAGTTCCCTGGTACAGGTATATTCGCTGATCTTTTGAGTGATCATTGTGTGACAGCTGCTTTAAGAGATATTAAACTTCCACCTTCTAAGCCCAGATTAATTCAAAAAAGGAATCTGAAACATTTTTGTGAACAGTCATTCCTCTGGGATCTGTCTCACTTTGACTGGCATCATATTCTGTTAACTGATGACGTGAACTCCGCTTGGAACTATTTTCATAATAATTTCATTTATTTTCTGAACATACATGCTCCTTTTCGTCAGTTCAGAATAAAGGGACGAGACAGCCCCTGGTTTACTCCAGAGCTAGCTGACCTCCTGCACAGGAGAGATCATCTTTGGGCCGCAGCGAGGAAATCTGACTCAGACACTGATTGGTTGAGTTTTCGACAGATGAGGAATAAATGCACAACTGCTGTTAAAGCAGCAAAACACAACTATTTCTTATCTCAGACCTCCAAAAATCTAAATGACCCTAACAGATTCTGGAAAACTATCAAATCTCTCTCAGGCACCACCCAATCATCTGACCTCCCATCACAACTTCTCATTAACTCTGTTCCTGTGTCAAATAAGCACGAGATCCTGAACTGTTTCAACAAACATTTTGTTGCTTCTGGTTCTTTATTTGACAGAGTTACTAACAGAAAATCAGCCACTTCACTTAATAACCAAACTTCTACAAATCAAATCCCTCCTACAAGTCAATCCTCAGTTAATCACAGCTTCTCTTTTTCTCCATTCTCAGTCAGTGAGGTCAACAAACTGTTAAAAGATCTTGACCCTAAAAAATCTGCAGGTCCAGATGAACTTCCACCTTATTTCTTAAGGCTGGCTGCTCATATCATCACAGTCCCTGTGACCCGCATCTTCAATCTCTCCATAAGACAAAACTCCATCCCAGACACTTGGAAAACAGCCTTTGTTCTTCCTTTGCTGAAGGGAGGAGACCCCACCTCACTGAACAACTATCGACCAATCTCTAAACTCTGCATTTTAGCCAAGGTTCTAGAAAAACTGATAAACTCTCAAATCAAAAATTACCTGGACTCATTTAACATCTTACCTCCACATCAATCTGGTTTCAGGAAACAACACAGCACAACCACTGCTTCACTGAAGGTTCTTAATGATGTTGTTGAAGCACTGGATGCTAA